TCACATGACCTGTTGCTTTGCTGAGCTCATCCGTTAAAGGAAGGGGAGTCTCAGAAATAAGCTAAAGTGACTAAAAGTCTTTCCACAGGGTTCATCTGAGATCTTCAACTAATCAGAATTTTCCAGTGGAGGCTGTGAGCTAAAGCATGGACAATACAGCTTCCCTAAACTTTGCAAGAGCTAACCTGCCAAGAACTCAACTTCAGTTATACTTTTACTGCTTTAGGAATCAGTCAGTTGCCTTTAGATGCTTTTCATAAACATTAGATACCAATGTAGTTTTCTAACAGCCAAAAAAATTTACTATAAGCATGGAACAGTAAAGAAGACTTCATATGAAGAAATAGCAAAATGAATTTTATCTGGCTCAATAGCGTCCATTGAAATTATAGGTTAAAAATCAAGGAAAAAAAGTTCCGACCTTCTCTAAGCTGAAGATTTTATCACTATATTCATAGAAAGTTGGCTTAGGAAAATCTTTTATGGGAATGTCGTTATGTATACCAAAATAATATTGGCTATAACATAAATACATAGTAACACCATTGTGCTATTAATTAGCTAGTGGGACATAATGATGTTTATTAATAATATATATGGGACAAGCTTGACCATAAGAAAGAAAACAGGATTCCAAATTCCTCTCCCATTAACTGCACAGGGGACAGAAAATGCAGATGGTGGAGAGAAGGAAAACTTGGGTAAGAAAAATACCTGCTGGGCCAAGTAAAATGACCAAAACTTTCCCAAAGATCAACAGAAATCCCCAGGAATTTCATATTTTTGTATAAGTATGACGGAAAGAAAAGCCTTTCAAAGGAGAGTACGTATTGTGAGTTTTGAGCACTTGCAGAGGCAAAGATTAAAGATTATGTAAATATTATTGCCAGAGACCTGAAATGTGGAAACAACCACCCATCACAAAATGAAACACTGCAGACCTGAAGAGGATCAACAATGACAGAAAGGAGGTAACATGGGGTATGATGTCCTCACACTGTGTATTACCTCACCTGCGGAGGAGCAAGTTGAGGTCAGTACCAGTGCACCAAGTGATATAGGTAGTCATGATGACAGTGATCATATTAATGAGTAATAAGGTGGAGATATCACAGGGGAAGGAGATCAGGTACTCAAATGTGAGTGAAATTTCTAGAAATGTAACTCAACTCTAAAGAAACATGTAATTAGTAGCCGGAATTCTTGAACAATGCCCTTGGAGCTGTTGTGTATAGGTGAAACACACCTATGAGCATTCCTGAGTAATAATAAATGTTCTAAAAATGTTCTCTAGTTTTTGCAAAATGACATATGTCAGTTTAGAGCCAGAGATAAATGCAGGGGTAGCAGAGAAGATACCACCAGTGGTTTTTCTTCCCTGCACTGCCTTTAGGCTTTGACTCTACATAAAATATTGGATAAATACTTTAAGTATATCTGTATCAAGTTGAACCAAAGTATAAGTCTGTCTGAAGTGCTCATGTGTTTCTGTCTTGTTCATGCAAAATGCAGCCCTTAGTTTAAAACTTGATATGAGTTTCTCGAAACAAAGAGTGGACCATGTTTTTGAAAATCCCTTTGTTAAAGATTCCCTGGAGATCCCTCCCACTTTGGCCAGGGTGCAGTCTCCCTGATTAGTAGAGTCTAAGTTCTAGCACCTCCAAAACCCAGTTCAGATAAAAAACACTTTTATAGACTATTTCCTTCTGGATAACTATAGTTTCCATTTGTGTTTCATTGACTTTGCTACTTATCTTACTTTTAAAACATCATAAATACTGTAATTGTTCTGACCCATCAGCATCCCTTTAAAAAAGTGGTTCATAAATACGTTGATAATATCTTACCTAGAAGAGATAAATATCTGGTGGTCAACCTTTTCCATCTATTTTCAATATCTAGTTGAAAAAAAATCAGTCCTTAATACATCATTTGTTACTGAAACATAGAGATTTTAGTAAATGTATGTTGTGGACCAATCTGGTGTGTATTTGTATGCACTATCTGTGGCCCTACACATTATAAGAGAATACTAGCTTGTATAGAGGATTACATGTTACAGAACGATGTCCTGAACAACTGAAAATAACATACTAATTTATTACACTTAACTTGATAGTGTATTTTTTCAAATTGCTTATAGCTGCATCAGCCAGCCTTCGAATTTCAAAGACTAACAACAAACCTACTTACTCTCAAATGAGCTCACCACCCCCCCTTGATAAGATTGCCTGTTCTCTGGGTGCCAGGCATTCAAGATGACCAATACATGGCCATATCTATAATCTTGTTTAGATAAGTTAAAAAGTTAGGCATATGTTTGAGACTGTCCCAAAAACTTCCAAAGAGGAGGAAGGGTAAATCCAGGCTGCACTATGACCAGCAAGAACACTGAGAAGCTCCAAGAAGTCAATATTAGAGAAAATATAATCAAAAGCCCATTCTCCTTAAGTAACCAGTGGGAGGCTTGATCCTCTCTCTGGTCCCATGCTTATGATCCACACATGCCCTCTTAGCAAGACACTAGTTTTTCCCACACCTTGCCTATGTAGCCAGTATGTCAAGACATCTCCACATTACTCTCCTTGATGAAGAACATGTGGTTCAATTTCACCCACTTGATGGGTTTCTGAAAATGAGAAAAACAATTCCAATCTGTTTTACAATAAAAAGATTCATTAAATTAGATATCTGCCAAAGAAAAAAAAAAAGTCTACAAACCATGTGATATGAGGAAGCAGAAACAAAGCTGAGTTCTACTCTTTTATGCTTTGCTAAGCTCAACCTCCTATGAGTATTTCTGATTAGAGATTTTTAAATCCTAGTTTTGACCAGGAAGTTAATAATCTCATGGGAGGAAGCAAATTGGAGTGGCTTCACAAAACACTCTGAAATTAGACCGACTAGTATTAAATCCAAACCCTCCCACTTCCTAGTTATCCAACTTTGAACATTCACTTAACCTTAATTTCCTCTCCTTTAAAGCTTAGATTCTCTTAGCACCTGGCTCTTAGAATTCATAGTGAGGATGAAATACAATAGTCCATATAAGATGTTTAATATAATACTGGGCATATAGGAAAAACTCAATATGTGATAGCTGCTAATATTATTTTCAAGTTGACCTTGGGTAATTCTTATTTCAATGGTCAGATTCCAATTGGTGATTCAAAAATCTCATTTCACCTTCCTTTCCAAGTCACTGTCCTTGATTCTGAAAGTGGGAAGTCAGAGTCATGGAATGGCCTCAGGGAGAAAGAATGGTGCTAGGTGGACTTCAGTGTAAGCTCCAATGAGGAGCAGAAAAAAGGAAGCCAAGGATTAGACACAGGAGCATCCCTTCCACTGGTCAGTATCAGACCACAGGATTAAAACTGTCCTGGGAGTGAGACTGTCCTTAGTCTGTGAAGCCCCTTGCTCCTTTGATTCCTTTTTCTTGTCTGACTTCAAGTCAAAGGTGCCTTCCTCTTTTGTCAAAATGTCTGTGAATTTTCAGAATATGAAGTGCTCACTTTGAGAAAATTAATGGCAAGAAACACACACTCTCCTTGAAGAATGATGTTTTGTTATAAATAAAGGACCGTGACATTAGAAGACAAGTTTTGATTCTTATGCAGAAATAGACATTGCCAATGGCATAATAACCTATATAGGAATGAGGAAATACAACGGGTTCTCATTATTTGTGTTGGTTGTGTTCTATAAAGTCACTGCAAACAGTGAATTTACAAACACTGAACCATTTTTCCCCCAAGGGAAATGCAGGATTAGGTTTCTGTGAGCCTCTAGCCATAACATTTTCATCAACCAATCAATACAGAACCCCGTTTTACATGTGTTTTTGTTTAAAGACACCTGATTTAATGCATACTGTTGATTCATTAGTATTGAACTCAAGGGCAACAGCACTATAAGTCATGTTTGAAGCAAGATTATCTAGTACACATTGTTTTTTTCTTTTCTGTGAGACCCATCACAGCCTTTTGGCACTTGGGAACACTAGACAGCACTCAGCACTAACTGGAAGGGGAGGTATGTACGTTATAACAATGTAAATGTAGAACTATTATATTAATATAACTTCAGTTAGAATTGTAACAGTGTTTAATTGGATAAAACATTTTTAAAGTTCAAATGGAAAGCTGCCTGAATAGTTACACAATTTTGAAAAGTAGGACTGAGCAGGTGAATTTGCTTATTTAATAAATAATCAAAATATAAAATTGTGGTAATAGGTATCGTTTGAGCATTACACAGAATATTTATGAGAAATAGATCATATGTCAAATCTTATCATATGTCAAAATTAATACATAACAAAAAGGTTTTTCAAATACATAGACAAAGTCTGGGTGGGTATGCTTATTTTAAAATAAAAGATATTTTTTGACTACATAGAAATCTAAAACTTTTGTGGAGAATCTATTGCCATAAATGAAGACAATAGAACATGTGGTAAGTTTAACTACAAAAATAAATCAGCATAGATGGCAGATTAAGGGTTTATATAAATAAATGATATATAAAATATTTTAAAAGTTAATTGGAAAATGATGTGCAAACTAATAAAAAGTGAGCAAATAATATGAATAGGTATTTCACATAACTGCTTATGGATGCTATAGAGATAGCTAGAAGTTAAGCTGTAAATGTAAATTGTACAATGGTAGGGGTGAATTTTTGCTTGTTTTGTTCACTGCTATAGTCCCTGTTGTAGAACAGTGCATGGGAATATAATAGGCACTCAATACATATTTCTTAAATAAATGAAAGATAATATATAGTATAAGATTTTCCAACTTTGAGTAGCTTGGATTATATAAAGTAACGAAGAGTTATAGCTTGTATCTATTAAACTGGTTACATTTTTAATAGTTAAGGCACCTACTATTATGTTAAGAGAAGGAATTTTCATGCATTGTTTATGAAAATGTGGACTGTTAAAGACAATTTGAAAGAAACCTGGTTCCATTTATTAAAATGTATAGTAATACACATACCTTTTAATTCAGCAACCAAATGCTGACACTCCACCTCCCAGGAAGAGAGGAACCATCTAAAGGGCAGACAATCTTACGAATAGATGTATATGTGCATGTGTTTTCTGTGGATGTGAAGAATGTTCCTTCATGCTTTAGATGAAACAAAAGCTACCTATGTTGAAAAGAACATAATCTAAATCATCCTTATAAAACAAACCATAAAGAGAACTAGTTTGAAAATCAGAAGAAAAGCAAATTTAAGTATAATAAACAAACAAAAAAATAACTTAAAAACTGGCATTAACATTTTACCTTTTAACAGGGTTTAGTTCTGGAATGTTTTGGATGATAAAACTGCCCCCAAAGCTTTTCATAATGGCATGTTTATTTTTAAAAATTGCATTGAATACAATAAGAGTTATATTTTTCAAACAGGAACAAACATTAACATTTATAAACATAAATAAAACACTATTGCTTAGAAGGTTTAAGCTATGATTTAGAAATCAGAAGAAAAATTAAAGATGAAAATGTGAATTATTTTGGGCATTTTCTACTGTAGCTGGTGAAAACACATATAAAAAAATACTACTAAACCGAAACCGGTTTGGCTCGGTGGATAGAGCGACAGCCTGCGGAATAAAGAGTCCTGGGTTCAATTCCGGTCAAGCGCATGTACCTTGGTTGTGGGCACATCCCCAGTAGGGGGTGTGCAAGAGGCAGCTGATCAATGATTCTCTCTCATCGATGTTTCTAACTCTCTATCACTCTCTCTTCCTCTCTGTAAAAAAATCAATAAAATATATATTTTTAAAAATACCACTAAGTTAACCACATTAACATTTTTAATATGTCCAATACATTTTGGACATTAGACCATGATAGGAAATTTTTCAAAAAATTGCTTCTTTTGGGGTTGAAAAAGTTTAATGTTATCTTAGCAAAACTAATGAGCTTATCTACAAAGAATATGTCTGAGATGGATTAAATTGACATCAGACTTCTTAGAAAACTTATACCCAAAATTACACACTTGGTAGGAACAAGAAACTTCAATAAATAAATTGTCTTATTTATTGGCATAGGTTTGTGCTAAAGTTGAAAATACTACTTATGAAAATAGTAGTCAACATTGTAAACAGAATTTTTTTTTTTTTGCATAACTTGACCTATTCTTGACTGAATGCTCTATATGCTATCCTATATTGCTGTCCTGTATTGAAACTAGAGCCTAATGAGATGGTGAAGGCATTTTTAAACCATTGGAAAAAACAAATGTGTTCATGTCTCCCCAAGAAAATTCCTTCCTCTGCTCCTCAGTGGAAAAAAAAGATCAAAACTTTCTTTGTAGGTTTAATAATAACCTAAATAAATAAATGAAAATTTAACAAAATTTCATGGATATTTCTAAGAGATTCAGATTAATTACAAATGTTTATAATTTGATTTTCTCATTCATTTCTAGTGAAAGCCTATTGTATTACTTTCCTGTGGCTGCTATAACCAAGTATCACACACTTGATGACTTAAAACAGAAATTTATTTTATCACAGTCCTCCTGAAGGTCAGAATTCTCAAATCAGTCTTACTGATGACAAAGGGGCTGTGGTCCCTCAGGATGCTCTAGGGAAGACTGTCCCTTACCTCTTTCAGTTTCAGGTGGCTGCACGCAATCTTGTTTGTGGCTGCATCACTCCAATTTTTGTCTCCATGGTCACGTTGCCTCCTTCTGTGCATCTAATCTCCCTTTGCCTCTCTCTCACAAGGCAGAACACTTGCTATGGCATTTAGAGTCTACCAAGATAATTCAAAATAATTTCCCCACCTCGTAATCTTTAGATGAATCATAACCACAATGTACTTTTCCCAAATAAGGTAAATATTTACAACTTCCTGGGATTAGGACTTGATATCTTTGGAGCCATCATTTAATCCACTGAGTTTGCCTTTGAAAATTTATTTCACAAAGAAAATTCAGGCTCATTTTCCTATACTGAGGTCAGTTTTGAGAAATAAAAATAATTTGTTGAACTGCATTTCAACATCAGTAAATATTGAATGTAAAAACATTATACAGTGTAGACTTATGAAAATAAAAATTGATTCATTTTTTTCTCAGTCAACACTGATAATATGAGTAAAGAAATATACCTAAAAATTGCTGAAATGAAGGGCAAAATGGTACTCCAAATGTAAAACAGTTGAAATACTAGGTTTCCAAAATATCTTTAAGCAATTATCCTAAACATAAAAAGGAACACTCATGGATTATTTTCATGTTCAAAATATATTATCTTTGTGAACAGCTCTTTTACATTATGAAACAGAATAAAAAAATATTATTCCCAATAAATATTTTAAGGATGAATTGCTTACTACCTATTGCAACTTTAATATTAGATCTAAATGGATATCTTGATGCAGCAGAAAATGTCTGAGGTTTCTAGTTGAAAATTAATATAATGACAATGAAGAAAGAAAAATCCAATAGCCAACTGCAAAGAGGCTAGGAAATGGAGGCACACAAAATAGTTGATACCATTAATGTTTTTTTAAAAGTTGGTGAGCATAGAATTTATTTAAAAATACATCTAAGAATAGATAAATAGGTATGATAGAAAGAGAATAGAATATAAGTCTTATAAAAATAAACAGAAATTAAGCGATGGGGAAGAGAATTGGGAGAATGTGTGAGTATGCTATCTAGTAAGGATAAAACAATGTTTAAAGTCAGAGCATATAAAACTGTAAAAACCTCCAATTGTTTAATATTATCATAAGTATACATTTTAATTTTAGATATATTTCAAAAAACAATACCTATTACAGTGAAATAGCATTTTTCAGAAGTGTTGGTATTTTCTTCAGTGTCACATGCTTCTTTTTTGCTTTTAAATTCTAGAAATATTAAGGATAATAACATTTATTTTATTACTTATTTTGTAAAATGATTTTGGTTTATGTATTTATCCATCTTTCCATTTGAGTATATTTCTAAGGAAAATGTTTGGTCTGATTCATCAAAGTTAACTGGTTATTTTCAGATCATGGGGTTTAAGATTTTTTATTTTTAGTTCTTAGTTTTGCTTGCAGTAATTGTTTAAAATAAGAATGAATCATTTTTACTTCAAAATCAAGGTCACTATTTTTCAGAAATGGTGACTTCGAAATTTGAAAAGAGTGCACAAATATGTACAAATACATATTAAACAGACATACATATATGCATAGTAAATGTGTATGCTTTTTACTGATACAAAAGGATTTTTGGAGCATATATGCAAAGTGTAGAAGGGTAGCTACAAAATGATCTACTTGGGATTTTAATGCATATATATGAGTGTATTTTGTGATTGTGCATTTTATATGCCTTTATAAGTATTGCAGCTATTTGAAAGACTATCAAAATGTTGAGTGGTTTTCTCTAGATGTTAAATTTATAGGCAAGCAGTATTTTTTTCCTCATGATTTTTCCAATTTTTAAAATTAACATGAATTTATTGTGCAATTAAAATATTTTTTTTGCGAAAGCATCAACTTGTATTCCTTGGAGACATTCAGGAAAATATCTAATGTTTTTGAGAAGTAATCAGTTTCCTGCCTACTTTGTACAGAAAAACTTACAGATAAATTAGGTACATTTACCTGGTTTCCTGGTGTCCTAAAATAATGCTTTTCACAAAAGCAAGCTGAAACAAAAATTGCAAATCAAATAAACCTATTAGAGCTCTACAGAAAATTTCTACTTTCTTTATGCTTTTCTTATTAGGAAGTGTTTTAGCTAATATGAGTAGACAAGGTAATTTTCCTAGCTGTTCAGTGCCAAAAATTTTATGAAATCTCATCAGGCAAACATATTTGTTCTGCTTTCATTTCTATTGCACTGTGGTTTGCATTATTATTTACTAACTAGATTACACTCTACTGGTCTCTTCAACTACCTCCCAGCTTTTTTCATGTGAAGATTTATTTTTTTGTCATATGCTAGCAATTCATTCATTTGATTTCTGTGTAGAGGATGAATAGCTACATAGCAATCTGGAAGCCACAGGAGAATGTCAAAGATTTTTCTTAATCTGTTTTTACAAATGATTATAATAGCTGAGAAATAGTCAAGGATAGGAAATCACCTTCTCCAACTAGGAATTTATTGTCCATTTAGGTCTATGAAACACTTAAACCCAGTGGGGATGATTATATTTTTTGTTTATTTTAAATTTAGAAGACTTAGAAGAGACACAATACACAATAGAGAAGCATTTAGAGTATTGTATAAACATTTATAGTTCAGACAACTGGAGTTTTTAATGGAATTTTGCTGTAAAGAAATCTATAAAAATATAGACATAAAAATAATTAAATAAATTTTATTTCAAACTTGTTTTTTCCCTTTTAAAAGTTTTATTTGTGTATTTGTTAAACAATGATTTATTTAAGATGATATTATATGAAGTCAGATATGATCTTACTTTCCTCACATATGCCAAAAAGCAGTAATACAGAAATGCACCAAAGAGGTATGAGGAAGAGCATTTAATTTCTGTAAGATTGCTTTTTATGGGTGAGAAGTATTCTTGGAATCTAACAATTTTGTTGTTGTTAATTCTCACCCAAGGATGCTTTTTGCATTGATTTTTTTTAGAGAGAGTGGAAGGGAAAGGGAAGAGAGAGAGAGAGAGAGAGAGAGAGAGAGAGAGATCAATGTGAGAGAGACACATTGATTGGTTGCCTCCCACAGCTGCCCCAACTGGGGCCAGGATTGAACTTTCAACCAAGGTACATGCCTTTGACTGGGAATGTAACCTGTGACCCTTTGATGCACATGCACAGGCCAACACTCTAATCACTTAGCAACACAGGGAGGAATTTAACATATATTTAAGTATAAACATATATGTACATTGTCTGCCTTTTAATATTCTAAAAATTGGTAATTCTATGAACTCTTAAGCTACATATTTTTTTTTGCCCAAAAGAATTTCTTCAAATCTTCTTAACACTGCTTTGTTGTTTATTGCCCAAACTAGTTCTAAACCTGCTTTAACCAGCTTTGCATAGGCATAACCTAAAAACAAACAAACATGTCTTGGACCCACACAATGTACCTATATATCACTTTCTGCCTCAGGGCTTGTCCAAAGATACTTATGGAAATTCACCTGGCACTCAATCATGTGCAGTGGGGCGGGGTTAGTGCCAAAAGGTCACTCTTGACCAGTTAAGGTGGAATGCAAAGGAATCCAAAATGTAAATGTGCTTCCCTTTCTTCACTCAAAGAACAGCTTAGAGACTCATAGAATAATGCTCCCCAGAAGGTCTGATTGGCACCTTGCAATGCTGTCCAATGCAATTGGACTACTGTTCAGTCCTAGCTAATCCCCATTTCTCTTACTATTGGCCTCTGAAATCACTTGCTAATTAAAGAACCTGCATATAAGACTTTGGCTCAGGCATTGTATTCAGAAAAATCCAGGTTAAAGCAGGTACCAAAACACCCCAGAAAGCTATTAGAATGGGATTCAGAACTGACAATAAGGACCAGTTGCTGGTTGCAAGTGAGTTTCTCATATATTTGACAAAAAAAGCAAACATTTCTATTTAATTATATACCAGATACATTTATAATCTATCAATAATAAAAGTATACTGGCAATGCTAGAGAAAACAGTGAGTTGCCTTTCTATTTCCTCTGTGCAAAATATTACAGAAATGTTATATAAAGAAGCAGCCTAAGTATGCAGTCATAAAAAGTAAGATTAATATTATGTTGGAGATATGGTTGAACATAGATATTATGTTTTTTCAAATTTTTTGTTACATGGTGATTCTATCTCAGGTAAGTAACCTGAGATGGTCTAATTTGAATCTCAGATTTAATTATGATCAGGTCGTTTTTGCTGAATTAAAACCAGCAAGGATATTGCCCCAGGGTGGTAAGTTAACTGTCTTGCAACTATGTGGGGTTGTTAGATAATGAAGCCAATACCAAGCAGGAAATGCCTAAAAAATGTGTGTGTGTGTGTGTGTGTGTGTGTGTGTGTGTGTGTGTGTGTGTAAAGAGAGAGAGAGAAAGAGACTTGAACCCTAGTATAAGCCATATCTGAAACCATTGTTCCATTATATGAGGCAATAGTTTCTTTTTTAAGTAAGTTTGAGCTGGGCTTTTCATCACTCAAAATAGAAAGTAAAGATAGAAAGGCATCACTGTCCTCTTGAACACAGTGTAGACAGAGCTTTTGAGTTTCTGATAAAAAACAAAACAAAAACAACAACAAAAAACGCACACACACAGAAACCTTATGTAATTATTCCCAGTGCTGTTTTAAACATGGCCCATGAAATCCCAAGTAAATCTTACTTATTAGTCTCCATCTCTTAGCTTCCTTGTCATTGCCTCAGGGAAAACTTTTCTGATTTTGAGTAGGTTATTTCCCCTGATTTGCATTCTCATAGCACCCTATATTTATGATTGAATTAATATAAACAAAAAAAGCCAAAAAATCTTAGAATTCCTCTCTAAATTAAGTACATGACTATGCACATACACATATACATTTATATAAATATATGTGTGTTTACATAAGACTAGAAGCCTAGTGCATGAATTCGTGCATGGGTGGAGTCCACCCAACCCCAGTGGGGGTGGGACTGGCCGGGGAGAGGGGCAGCAGATGGTTGACGGGCCTTGCCCTCAATAGGGGTGATGAACTCCTTTAGCTTTTTCTTGTCAGTGAAGCTCTTGATCTGGCCTTC